GTCCATTGGACCTTGAACTACCTGTTGCTATTAAGTGAAGGTTAATTCCATGCATTTTACAAAATTCACGGAACTCCGAGCTAGCAAAACATCTTCCCTGATCCGCTATGATACGAACAGGAGCACCAAATAATGAAACAGAATAATTCACGGCACGAATACTACTGGCAGTATCGATGTGCGAAGTGTGGTACAAAGTCACAAACTTCGTGAATGCATCAACCAATACAAACACATACTCTTTCTTATCATTTTTTCCACTAAGCTTGCCTGTGGCATCTATATGTACTGTATGCCAAGGTATTGGAACTTTTGGTATAGGGTGAAGCTCAGCTTGTAACTTTCCCGAGTGTGACTTAGAAATCTTGCATGTAATGNATTTGTTTGTAAATTTTGTCATATTTTCAAACCAATATATTTCATATAATTTTTCAAGCGTTTTTTCCCATCCCAGATGCATCAATGATTTATGTGTTGTGTTTACCAAAGACCACTTCAGTGCTCTAGGAAGTATGGGTAAACATCTGGTCTTACCGTAGCGTTGTATTTTACGGTGCAATATCCCAAGACGAAACTCATAAGTTTTACATAAATCATTGTTAACTTTTTCTTCCTTAAGGTCGGTTACCAATTTCACAATCTCAGGATCGCGTTGCTGTTCAGCCAACAACCAGTCTTTGGTAAATTCTGCAAAGTTTACCTCTTTTTGTTGTATCTTCGGAGGATTCGATACGGGCTTAGGAGGCAGNTAAACATTTGGTCTTACCGTAGCGTTGTATTTTACGGTGCAATATCCCAAGACGAAACTCATAAGTTTTACATAAATCATTGTTAACTTTTTCTTCCTTAAGGTCGGTTACCAATTTCACAATCTCAGGATCGCGTTGCTGTTCAGCCAACAACCAGTCTTTGGTAAATTCTGCAAAGTTTACCTCTTTTTGTTGTATCTTCGGAGGATTCGATACGGGCTTAGGAGGCAGTGGATTTCTCGAAAAGAAATCTACATGACACATTCGATTTCCGTTTCTATGAATAATGTCAAAGTCAAACGCTTGTAGAAAAGCCCACCACCTATGTACTCTAGGAGTCAAATCTAACTTAGTGCGAGANTTTGCTGTCTGTTACTACAGTAAACTTTCGCCCGTGCAGATAATGCCTGAAATGTTTTATTGCATTAACAACTGCAAGAGTTTCTAACTCATAAGAATGGTATCTCGATTCTGCGGCAGTCGTACTTTTACTGAAATATGCAACCACATGAAGCTTGTCATCGTTTTTTTGCATGAGGACTGCACCATACCCTATCGAGCTTGCATCAGTGTGCAACTCAATGGGAAAATTTGGGTCAAATATGGTTAGAACAGGAGTATTTGTAAGAACAGAGATCACCTTTTTTCTTATAGATTCATGGGAAGATTTCCAATCAAGATGTGTCTTAGTAATACTAGTCAAACTGTACAATGGCGCCATTATTTGTGAAAATTTTGGGATAAACTGTCGGAAATATGAGGCCAATCCTATAAATTGTCGCAACTGAGTAATAGATTGTGGAGGAGGTAAAGCTACTAATGCTTCAATTTTTTTCGGATTTGACCTAATTTCCCCTTTACTTACTTCATATCCCAAATACTAAATTTTTTTCTTCATAAAGCAGCACTTCTTACTGTTAAGAGAAAAACCAGCCTTGACCAGCGTATTTAAAACATTTTCTATCCTTTCTAAACTTTCGCTTATGTCTTCATTTCCTAAAACCAAGATATCATCCATGTATACTACAACATAAGTATTAACAAGCTCTCCAAGAACTTTCATTACACTACGTTGGAACACTGCGGGAGCATTGCGTAATCCAAATGGCATAGCAAGGTACTCAAAATGACCCTCAGGTGTCACGAAAGCANCCATTTCCTAAAACCAGGATATCATCCATGTATACTAGAACATAAGTATTAACAAGCTCTCCAAGAACTTTCATTACACTACGTTGGAATACTGCGGGAGCATTGCGTAATCCAAATGGCATAGCAAGGTACTCAAAATGACCCTCAGGTGTCACGAAGGCGGTCTTTTCAATTGAGTCAGAATGAACTGGTATTTGGTGATATCCACTTGCCATATCTAAAGTAGTAAAATAGTGACAGCCATGCAGTCGATTAATCTGATCGGATATTAAAGGTAATGGAAATCTGTCCGGAACTGTGTTANGCAAGGTACTCAAAATTACCCTCAGGTGTCACGAAGGCGGTCTTTTCAATTGAGTCAGAATGAACTGGTATTTGGTGATATCCACTTGCCATATCTAAAGTAGTAAAATAGTGACAGCCATGCAGTCGATTAATCTGATCGGATATTAAAGGTAATGGAAATCTGTCCGGAACTGTGTTATCATTCAATTCCCGATAATCAACACACATTCGGTCCGATCCATCTTTTTTCTTGATCAGCAAAATAGGACTTGAAAATGGAGAACAACTAGGTCGAATTACATTTGTTTTTAACAATTCGTCAACTTTATTTCGAACGATTCTACGCTCTTCAGGGCTCATCCTGTAAGGTCGTCTGCAAACTGTCTTGTTTGGATCTTTCAGACGAATTTTCATGGGTTCTATATTTGAAGAACTACAGGGAGTGCTTTCTGTGAATTTGTCTCTAAATTTATTCAAGATTTCTATCAACTTCGTTTTGTGCTCAACTGGAATGTCAGTATCAATGTCATCAAAGTCTAAGTCAACGTTTTTAATTTCGCAAACATTTACTTCAGCATTATCTATTTCGCAAAACTGCAAAGTTTTTAAAGTCATTTTCACACATATACTTTGTGTCAAAATTTCACAACCAATCATAATATTGTATTTCAAAAAATTATCAGGTAAAATATCGAATAGAATTTGTAATTTTACGTTATCAATTTCTACAAACGTTAAAATTTGTAAGGAGCTCTTTACACTCGTTTGTCCAATGTCAGTCATTGTGACGACATTATTGATTCGTTTGCCACAAACTTTGGAAATAATTGACTCTTTCATTAATGAGCATTCTGCTCCAGAGTCATAATAAAATTTATAGAGCTCACCTGACTGACGCAAACTACCTGAAGGAATCTTCAATAAGCATATATCTACACGTCGACCTGAGGACCCACTGGATTTACTACTCAGTTCTTTTCCTTTTGATATAGTAGGACATCGTGACGCATAGTGACCAGATTCGCGACAGCGAAAGCAGATAACATTTGTTGCAGTCGGAGTTGATAACTTCTTATCTAGAGGCTTGTTGCTTGAAGAATTCTGCTGGGCTGATGTTTTAAAGTTGAGTCGACATGCTGAAGCCTTGTGGCCAATCTTACCGCAATTGTAGCATTTGATATAATCATATCCTTCTTCATGTTCATTTCTAATTGGCGTAAATTTTCTCTTTAATAGTGGCATTGCTTTCAATTCCCGCGTCAACTGATTCCTTGTGGAAATATTGGTGGTAAATGCAAGACGGTGAATACGTGGCTCGAATTGGGCAATATGTGCCAACGCAGTTGAAACAGCAATTTGTTCAGTTGTTAATTTTTCTAGTTTTAGACTGAGTGAAGTGACTAGCGCTGCTGCATACGACGCCAAACAGTCGCCATCCTTTGGTTTGCTGCTCTGTATTTGAATCATAAACGCAGCTGGTGTCTCAGAAAAACTAAATCTAGCGATGAATAGCTCCTTGAAATCGTTTCAAGACATTTGTGGAAACGCTACTTGAGATAACCATGTAGCAGCTGGTCCCTTCAAGGCTTGAGTGAGCGATAACATCAATGCAGAACCTTGTAATGTGTGTCCTTCCATGACTATATCGGCCGTAGATATCCAGGCATGTGCGTTTGAATCACCATCAGGATCAAACTTAGGTAACTGTATCCTGTCACTATTTGGAGCTTTAAGCGTTTTTATCAACTCCAAGAATTGTTTGTTTTGTTGTTCATACAACATTTTCCATTTTTCACTCTCACATTCACTATTAAGTAAGGCATTGGGCACATGCTCCACTTCTGATGTCGGGTTCTCCATAAATCTCGTTTATCGTTTACGCGTATATGCAGCGATTCGCTAGTGGCTACACTCCTTTCAACCAACGTTCACCTTTTGTTTCAAAAAACCAACTCTATCCTCCAAACTCATTTTCCTTCGTTCTAATCAAAAGCCTACTTTTTATATTTGGCTTCGCGTAGCCTACCAAGTTTTATTCTTTAAGCAAGTGTTTTCTTAATCAAGTGTTTTTCTAAACAAGTGCTTTTCTAACCAAGTGTACCACCTTTGTTTCGCTCAAGCAATACATCATTGCTTGGCATATACATACATCATATCTCCGACATACATATATTTGTATGTATGTACATGTGTATGAAAATTAAATCATTCAGAGTTTCAACAAAAAAAGTAACAAGAAAAAGTAAAAAGTTGAACAAATCCAAATTGGACACAAAATGCTTGTATCACCATTCAGATTAGTACGACTACTGTGATCTGCAAAGCAATCTGTGCAAAGTTTAAAATGATAGACCGAGCTTCTCTTCCGATTGGCGGCGATTTATGTTATTCTGCCTTTACTCATTTTTGTTGTTTGTGAAAATTTCAGTCGCCTTTTCAATTAAAACAGCAAGTGCGCCATCCATATCAAAACAGTTGTTCTGCGGCGATGGTACACAANCTTTACTCATTTTTGTTGTTAGTGAAAATTTCAGTCGCCTTTTCAGTTAAAACAGCAAGTGCGCCATCCATATCAAAACAGTTGTTCTGCGGCGATGGTACACAAACAACCCCAATTCCTCATCGCAAGCCTGTTGGCGCTCAACCGCGGCGGTCCGCGTTTGCGCGCCACTATTGAAAAACCTAAGAAGCTGAGACTATATAATAGATTTTGTAATCCCGGCGGAAAAACCACAACTTTTTTTGATGATGCAGTCTAATGTACACACATACATATGTATTAAATATATGCATTAAAATTTGTTAATTTCAATTTCTTCTTATAATAAAGGAAACAAATATTTAGTTAAATGTTATCATATTAGTTTTTTTAGAACAGGGGGTATTGGATGTAACCTAAAATGGAGAAAAGAACCACAATAAAGACGAAATAATGCCCGCGGGCTTATCGGAAGGGAAATAATGCCCACCGGCAAAAGGCAATAAAGCCCGCGGGCTTAATTTCTTTTCCGGAAAGCCCGCGGCCATTATTGCTCTTTCGCTAAAGAAATAAAGCCCGCTGGCTTTATTGCCTTTTATTGGTGGGCGCTATTTCCCCTTCGAAATGGAAATAAACGTCCACGGGCTTTATTTCATTTTTTTTAGGAAACAAAGCCCACGGACATTATTTCCGCGGGCGTTATTGCACTCAACCCTAATATACCGCATTTAACAGCTACTAAAGTGTTTATCGGTGGAGTGCAATAAGGCCCGCGGAAATAACACCCATGGGCTTTATATCCCAAAAAAATATAAATAAAGCCCATCGGCGTTATTTCCATTGCGAAGGGGAAATAGCGTCCACCAATAAAAGGCAATAAAGCCCGCGGGCTTTATTTCCTTTGCGAAAGAGCAAGAATGGCCACGGGCTTTATTTCTCAAAGAAAAGGAAATAACGCCCGCTTGATTTATTTCATGAAAAAGGAAATAAAGCCCCTGTTTAGGC